GAACCCAGGGCCTCAGGCATGCAAGGCAAGCGCTCTACCACTGAGCCAACTTCCCAGCCCCAAGTTTGAGTTTTTAATGGAATGACTAAGCCCATTTTATTTTCATAAAAGTGATGTAAATTTGTTAAAAAATAATAAAAAATTTCTTCTCTAATTATTTTGGTCCATTTTAAAGAAAATAAAGATGTAATACTCTGTATGGGTATGTGAAGGCAAATACACGTCAGAGTATGTACTTAAAATGGCAGGAAATGCTTGTGAGAATCTTCAAACTGTATTTTCAGTCTTGACAATTACATTGGTTGTTGTTCTGGGCCAGTTGTGCAGATGACCAGGCCCTTTACCTTTTGTTATATCTTCTAACTTCTGAGAAATGAATGTGCATTTTTATATTCTTTTGTTAGTGTTACTTAAAATTAGTGAAAAAAGGCTGGGCACTAGTAATCCTAGCCACTCAGGAGGCTGAGATCTGAGGATTGCAGTTCAAAGCTAGCCTGGGCAGGAAAGTCTGTGAGACTCTTATCTCCAGAAAACCAAAAGTGGCACTGTGGCCCAGGTTGTAGAGCGCTCGCCTTGAGCTAAAGAGCCAAGGGACAGAGTCCAGGCCCAGAGTGTAAGCCCCATGACCACCACCACCACCAACAACAACAAAAAAGTGAAAAATGTTAATATTCTCTTTCAGTAGAAAATCTCTGATTAAGTAAATTAAATATCTCACTCCAATTCACAAGGCTATTAAGTGGGAGAATTACATTAAAATTAAAATTAATTCACTCATCTGTACATTGATCAAGTCTATTTCTGCTCTGTTCCAGTGTAAGCTAATATAAATATTTGTTTTTGTTTTCTTTATAAAATGAGGGCTATATTTGTTTTATTATTCTGATTGTTCTTCCTTTTTGCTTTACAGGGATGGTTTTAGATTTTCATCTCAAGAAGCTGCTTCTAGTTTTGGTGATGATAGGCTACTAATAGAAAAATTTATTGATAACCCTCGTCATATAGAAATCCAGGTTGGTATGTTTTTAAATTACTTTGTAATTATTAGGAATTTTAAGTAGTATCATTTAATCTTATGAGAAATGCATCCTTTTATCTATATAAAATGATTTTATCAATTCTTTGGGGATGTTTGAATAAGTAAAAATAGATTAGACATAGGCCTTTGGAATTTGGTATATTTTTGTTGAAATGCTAGGATGTTGATTCAGATGGGAATGGATAAAAACCCAACCCCTAAAGAAAAGTCATTCTAAGCTATCTGAATAGACAAATATATTTCAGCTAGAGAATCATTTAGTGTCTTTGAGGACTGAGCCATTCTGGGACATTTTTAAAAGAAAAGAAGTCCTAACCTGGACTCTCATATTATTTTAGGTCCTCACATATCTGTGCCTCACTGCAATAGGCATTTTGTTGTGAGCTTGATATTAGAGATGAGTAACTCATTTTTTCTTTTCAGATTAAAATGCAGTCCAATTTTTATAGTGGTTGTGTGTATTTTAGCAAAACACAGCAGATTTCTGAAATATAGAGGACAATTCTGCTCTTTTTATTTGTCAGAAATACTTTCATGCTAATTTTCAAATGATGACTATGAATTGTAACACTTAAAACTGATAGGAGATGAATATCAAATTAGAAACTATTGAGTTTTAAGTAAACTTTTAAAGTTAATTTGGTGTGAATAGAGAATCAGAAAAACTAATGGAAAGGTGATGTCCCTTCTGCTGGGGACATAAAGTAGTATTATATCTGGTAACTTTACATAGCTATCATTTCTTGATAGACAATGTTCATGTATATTTTAAAAAAAATTTTTTTTTTGGGTCTGGTTGTGGGGCCTGAACTCTGGGCCTGGGCTCTGTCCCTCAGCTCTTCAGCTCAAGGCTAGCGCTCTACCACTTGAGCCACAGCGCCACTTCTGTTTTTTTTTTCTTTTTGCTTATGTGATGCTGAGGAATCGAACCCAGGGCCTCAGGCATGCAAGGCAAGCGCTCTACCACTGAGCCGCCTTCCCAGCCCAGATTTTCAAATTTTTCAGAGTGAAAAAATGCATGGAAACAGATAGCATCAGTTGGTAGTTATGAACCATTGAGTTTATAGAGTTTCTATCTGAGGCTAGCAAGTTTTAATTTTGTGGGTTTTTTGTTTTCAGAAGTTCTAATTTGCGATACTACTTACATATGGTAAAATAGAAAAGTCTTAATTGTATAATTCAGAAAAACATATATATATATATATATATATATACATACATATGTAGCAGTCATGTAAGTCTAGATATAAATTTTTTTTATTAAGCCAAACAGTTTAATCACACTACTTCCCAGTAGATCCCTTTCCTTGTCTAATATTTATAACTGCTATTCTGACATCTAACATAAGATTAGATTTTTGTTTTGTTTTTGGGGCTGAATCTAGGGCCTTCTGCATACTAGACAACTATTCTAATACTTGGTTATATTTCTATCTCTGTATAAAGTTTTAGAACACAAAATTAATCTATGAAGCAAAAGGAGTAACTCAGTGGTTGAAGACTTGCCTAGCATTTGTGAGACTCTTTCTTAAGTTTGATCACCAGAGTCATTAAAAAAAAAATACAAAAAAGTTCATGTAGACAGTATACTTAATCATGTTAGACAAGTATAATGTTAAACTTGTATCTGGCTTTTTTTCACATAACATCATGCCATTGAGATTTTCCATGAGTGTTATCACTTCTTGTCTTTTTGTTTTCATTATATCTTTTTGAAATTACTATATATTAAATTTTCATACATGTATATAATGTACTTTCATTAAATTTACCTGTAAATTGCTCTTTTAAGCCAATTAACTATTTTAAACCAGTCATTCATATGTTTAATTATTCTATTTTGATCCATGCCTATAAGGTACTTTCACTAAAATCTAATCTCTTTACACTTCATCAACTATTTCCCTTTCCTGAAAAAGTTCCTGTTTTATAATCATAACATTTCCCCCCTTTTTTTTAAAAAAAAAAACAAACAAACCAAAAAACCTAGATTGTACATATTACAGAGAACACACAATGTTTGTCTTTCTTAGTCTGTATTATTTCACTTAACATGATGATTCCCAATTCCAACCATATTCCTGCAAATACATAATTTCATTCTTCTTTATGGTTTACTAATATTTCATTGTGTATTTTTGAACTACATTTTATTTATCCATTCACCTGTTGGGTACTTAGAAGAATCCATAGTTTGACTCTTGTGAAGTGCTGGGGCTCTGCAAGGGTCTTTATCATGGGCTTCCTTACATTTCTTCTAGATAAATGCTCAGGAGTGATATCTCACCGTACTGCACAATTGTATGACAGTACTGTTCAATTTTTTTGAGAAACTTCCTCTCTGGTTTCCAAGCAGTTGCACTAGCCTACATTCCCACCAACAGTATGTAAGGGGTTGTTCTCCTCAACCCCTACATTCTTACCAGTGTTTGTTCTTTTCTTGATGAAGACCATTCTGATTGGTGAGATGGACTCGCATTGTCACTTTGATTTACATTTCCTTCATGGCTAAAAATGTTGAACACACCTTTAAACATTTATTGTTCATTTGTACTTCTTTTGAGAAATGTTTGTTTAGTTCATTTGCCGACTTATTGATTGGATTTTTAATTCTTCTGGTATTTGACTTTTTTTTTTTTTTTTGCTGCTCCTGGGACTTGAACTCAGGGTCTAGCCTCTGTCCCTGAGCCTCTTTGTTCTTAAGGCTATTGCTCTGCCACTTGATCCATAGTCCTACTTTTGGCTCTTTTGAGTAGTTTATTGGAGATCAGAGTCTCATTTTTCTGCCCAGAGTGGACCCGCAATCCTCAGGTCTCAGCCTCCTACGTAGCTAGGATGACAGGTGTGAGCCACCGACACTCGGCCTGGTATTTGACTTTTGAAGCACTTTATATATTCTGGATAATGATATTTTGTCTGATGAATATTTGATGAAGATATTCTCTCATTCTGAAGGTCATCTCTTCATTCTAGTGTTTTTTTCCTTTGTTGTGCCAAAGCCTTTAAGTTGATGTAATTCCATTTCTCAGTTTCTGCTCTTATTTCCTAAGCAATTAAGGTTTTACTCAGAAATTGTTTCCAATACCCTTCAAGTGTTTTCTCTATTTTTCTGTAGTAGCTTCAAAAGTTTCAGATCTTACATTGCAGTCTTTGGTCCATTTTGAATTTATTTTTGTACAAGGAAGAGATAGCATTTAGTTTTAGTTTTCTACATGTGGCTAAGTTTTCCCAGCATCTTTTGTTGAAGAGACGGTCTTTAACATTAACCTAAAGAATGTTTTGAGAGGTATGTTTGTTCAATGAGGTTTGAATATTACAAACCAAGAGATGTTGCTGGGAAAATGTTAACTAGGCACGCTTACTCAGTTGTTATGTCTATGTGTTTTCTTTCTTTCTTTTTGGGTCCGGTCATGGGGGGCCTGAACTCTGGGCCTGGGCGCTGTCCCTCAGTTCTTCAGCTCAAGGCTAGCGCTCTACCACTTGAGCCAGAGCACCACCTCCGGCTTTTTTCTTTTTTTTGCTTATGTGGTACTGAGGAATCGAACCCAGGGCCTCGAGCATGCAAGGCAAGCGCTCTACCACTGAGCCACCTTCCCAGCCTGTCTATGTGTTTTTCAAAAGATAATATTCTCAGGTTTTAGGTGATAAACATGGAAATGCCTTGTGGATTAATGAACGAGAGTGTTCAATTCAGAGAAGAAATCAGAAGGTGGTGGAGGAAGCCCCAAGGTAAGAGTCCTTCCTGATGAACATCTATAATATAACATGCTTCTATTTTCTAGATTAAAAAACTTTTATTGGCTAAAATTGCCTTAATATAGACTCTTCTAATGTCTATTTTTTAAATTAAGGATTTATTAATTATTTTCCTTAGTATATTAGTACATAAAAGAGAAGTAGATTGTTACTACAAAGTTGGTTAGACAATCATCTATGATTTGTACCAGCTTCGAGATAGTGTAGAAACTGCTAGTGTTTTGTGGTCTTTCTGGGTTGTATATCTTAGTAGTAAAGGTTTCATAAAGTAGGTCCTGAATTTTTCCTGGAAGGACCTAAGGAAGGGGTGTAATTTTTGAAAATTCCTTGGTAGAATGCTGGTAGAAAGAGCAACTTTGGTACTTCTGTAGGCCACCTTCCATGTGCTTTGTTTTGCGATTTTTCTTTCTATCTTTTTTTTTTTTTTTCAGGTCCTAGGACTTGAATTCTGGGCCTGGGCACTGTCCCTGAGTTCCTTGTGCTCAAGGTTAGCACTCTACCACTTGAGCCACAGCACCAACAATCTTTTTTTCTGAGATTAATTGGAGATAAGAGTCTCATAGACTTTTCCTGCCTGGGCTGGCTTTGAACTGCTATCTTTAGATCTCAGCCTCCTAAGTAGATAAGATTACGCCTGTGAGCTGCTGGTGCCCTGCTTGTGTTTCCATTTAATGAATACTCCACTTTCAAGTTGATTCCTCCTTGTATTTGTAAATATTCTGGTATTCTTTTTGTTCTTAAAAATTCCCAGTTGAACATACAGAGTTGTTTTGAATTAGCAGGCACAGTATATCTAATTGTAGCTTTAATTATAGCCAGAATCCCTTGATAAAAGATGTGTACAGTTTTTTAAAAGAGAAGATATAAATATGAATGAGCTTTTCATCGTAGGGCACTATTAAAATTAAATCCTATTTTGGTTTAGAATAGGGTCCTCAAATCCTTTGATACTCTCACTGAGTGATTAAGGGAAGGAGCTATGTTACCTTTACTTGATTCTGCATCCTGTGACTGCTTGAATAGAATACATTGAAGTGGTGCAGAAACAGTGACTGGTGCAGGCCTTATGAAACTCACATCTTTTACTTACTGTGTTTTGGAATATTTACCGTTAAAGCCAGCTACCATTATGTGAAGGACATCCCAATGCAGCTAATGTGGAATGATACCCTCTTTGTCTCATGGCGTAGGCCTATGTAGGCCCAGGATTTAGGAAGAAAGGAAGAAAAAAAAGAATGAGCCTAGTTCTTCTTGGCAGAGGCCGAAATTTTCTTAAAAGAGACACAACAAATCAGAAACACAACAAATCAAAGAAAGGTTGGACAAATGGGATTGCATGAAATTGGAGAGCTTCTGCATGGCAAAGATCAATAGAAAGCTCACGGATTGGGAGAAGATCTTCACTAGTCATTTAACGGACAAGGGTCTCATATCTAAAATATACTTGAAACTCAAAAAATTAAATCCCCCAACAATAAATCTTCAAAGAAACAACTGCCCAATAAATAAGTGGGCTAAAGACTTAAAGACAGACTTCTCTGAAGAGGAAAGAAGGATGGCCAATAGACACATGAAGAAATGCTCAACCTCCCTAGCCATAAAAGAAATGCAAATCAAAACAACATTGAGATACCACCTCCCCAGTTAGAATAGCTATAATCAAGAACTCTAATAACAACAGATGCTGGAGAGGATGTGGCCAGAAGGGAACACTACCATTGTTGGTGGGAGTGTAAACTTGTTCAACCACCTTGGAAAGCAGTATGGTAGTTCCTCAAAGGACTCCACATAGAGCTCCCCTAGGACCCAGCAATCCCACTTTTGGGCATTTACCCAAATGATCACAAACAAGACCATACTAAAGCTACCAGCATGACTATGTTTATTGCAGCCTTATTTACCATAGCTAAGATATGGAACCCACCCAGATGCTTCTCATTAGATGAATGGATCAAGAAAATGTGGTATATATACACAATGGAATTCTATGCCTCCATCAGAAAGAATGACATTGCCCTATTTGTTAGGAAATGGAAAGATTTGGAGAAAATTACATTAAGTGAAGTAAGCCAGACCCAAAGAAACATAGGTCTCATGGTTTCCCTTATTTGCAATAACTAGTATATGTCTGAGACAAGCAAAAATGGTCAGATAAGTTGATGTTAAGTGAAATGAACCCCAAGTTAAGGACTCAAATGTTTTTTCTTTCTTGCTATTGTGTCTAACATATTTATAAGATATTTCTTTGTTGCTTTGTATGTCCCTCCCCCACAGTGTAATCCTTGTTTTCACTGTATTTGATGTTGGTATATGTGGAGGGGAAGGGAAAAAACAAATTTTTAAAATAGGGATACAGGTGGACCCATTGCAGTAATGAGATGTACAAGATCTTTTGTCAAAAATGAACTATACATCTTTGGCACAGTGGGGGAGGAGGTGGAGAAGGGGTGGGAGGGGAGATGGGAAGGGGTGGAAAGGGGAAACAAAGGAGGAGTCAACAATGCTTGATAAGACATGCAGTCATGCCAGGCCCCTGTGGCTCAGGCCTGTAATCCTAGCTACTCAGGAGGCTGAGATTTGAGGATCATGGTTCAAAGCCAGCCGGGGCAAGGAAAGTCGTGAGACTCTTATCTCCAATAAACCACTAGAAAACCAGAAGTGGCTCTGTGGCTCAAGCGGTAGAGCACTCACTTTGAGCTGAAGAGCTGAGGGATTGTGCCCAAGCCCAGAGTTCAAGCCCCACAACCGACAGAAAAGAAAAGAAAAGAAAAGAAAAGAAATGCACTCATTACCTTGCCCATGTAATTGTAACCCCTCTGTACAGTATTTTCACAATTAAAAAAAAGAAGAAGAAAAAAAAAAGGCAGCGAAAGTACCTCAGTGGTAGAGCGCTTACCCTGCATGCATGAGGCCCTGGGTTTGATTCCTCAGCACCACATAAGCAAAAAGAAAAAGCCGGAAGTGGCACTGTGGCTCAAGTGGTAGAGCACTAGCCTTTAGCTGAAGAGCTGAGGGACAGCGCCCAGGCCCAGAGTTCAGGCCCCATGACTGGACACCCCCCCCCAAAAAAAAAAAGAAAAAAATGAGCCTAGTAGAGAAATGGGCAAATAGCATAGATAAACATAAAATTATGAACTCTTAATTTGAGCAAGGAAATTTTGTATAGTGCACATAAAGCATATCTTGATTTTTGTTCTGAGTGCAGACTGGTGCTTTTTGTATTTGCAGCACTTTTTTGGATCCTAAGACTCGAAGAGCAATGGGAGAACAAGCCGTGGCTCTTGCCAAAGCGGTGAAATATTCCTCTGCTGGAACTGTGGAGTTTCTTGTGGACTCGAGGAAGAATTTTTACTTCTTGGAAATGAATACGAGACTCCAGGTAACAGCAGCAGTGTCTGTTCTTCTCTGTACTTCTGGCTTTACCCCTCCTTACCCACACTTTTAATAAAGTTAAAAATTGGCTTCAGAACTTAAGTAAACATCTAGTTTTTATTATTATGCAGGCATCTGTCAAAGGGGAGAGATGTGTCCTCTGAATTTAAAGGTCAATGTCTAGCCCTTCTGCTTTGTTAGTATTAATAGTTTGTGTTAAATTCTCCTTTGGTTTGGTTTTAAACCTTTCAGATTGAACTGTATTTGCAAGGATTCATTTTCTGTTAAGAGAAGCTACTGTAGATACTATGAACAGAAGGGAATTAAGTGATTGCAGATTTTGTAAAGACTGGAGGAAGGGAGGAAACCTAGGAGAGACTCCTGAGACTGACTCCTACAGCTAAGTAGTTGAGTTTTGCTACCTCTGGCCGAGTTAGAGAAATCTAGTGGCAGTCTGTAGTCTTGAAGATGTACTTTATTAGTTCCAGTTAAGTAGGTGCTAAGACAGGTGTCTTTCTTCCCTTTCTTTTTCCTTTTATTCTCCTATTTAAAATATGAATTACACACATTCAGAATAATATACAGTACCTAAGTGAATTGTTGAATAAATTAGCTTAAAGCAAAAAACCATTCAGCTATCAACTGTATCTAGAATTATGAAGTTAGTGCATCTACAGCTGCTACTCTTCCTCCTCCCCCTGTCTTTTCTTTTTTTTTGGGTCCAGGCCAGGTCCGCTGGGCCTGGGCGCTGTCCCTCAGCTCTTCAGCTCAAGGCCAGTGCTCTACCACTTGAGCCACAGTGCCACTTCCGGCTTTTTTTTTTGCTTATGTGGTGCTGAGGAATCGAACACAGGGCCTCAGGCATGCAAGGCAAGTGCTCTACCACTGAGCCACCTTCCCAGCCCTCCCCCTCTCTCTTTTCTTCTTTCTCTTCTCCCTTGTCTTCTCCTTCTTCTTCCTTCTCTTCTTCCTCTTCTTCCTTCTCCCTTTTAGTTATTCTCCTTCATCTTTTCTAGAATTGTCTCCTATTCTGACTGAATTTTTAACAGTTTTTTGGGTCTCCATATAGTTCTTCCTTCGAATTATGAGCACATAAGTTTTGTTTGTTCCTTATCTTTAAAAAATTTTAAATGGATGGGATCATATCATGTTTATTCTTTTTTTTGCCTAGCTTTAACATTTTATTTGTCTGATTCAAACAGATTGCTTTATGTAATCCTGGTATGATACTTCTTTGAAGAAAATGCCAGCATTCATTTATCTATTTAATTTCCGTAGATACTTTGTTTCCTTTTTTTTTTTTTTTTGTGCTATTTCTCTTGTTTGCTAGGGCTACCAGAATGAATGATCATAAACTGGGTAGTTAAACACAACAGGTTTTTGTCTCACAGTTTAGGGTTTCAAAGTCTCACATCATGGGTACCCTTAGGGAATCTTACAGGCCTCTCCTGGTTTGTGGGGATGGCTAACAGTCCTGGTTACTCCTTGGTTTCTCCTTGGTTTGTGGCAGCCTAAGTTTTTTCATTGTCATCTGTGCACCTTCAGTGCACAGTAGTTTCCTTTTCTCTTTTTCTATAAGGACATCAGTCGTATGGACTTAGTGATCACTCTAGTGTCACCTTACCTTATTTACTTCTAAGACTCCATTTCCAAATAAGGTCCTACCCGTAGGTTCTGGGTGGACATGAATTTTCAGGAAATTCTACTCAATCTAGTACACCATTTGTAAAACACATTTGGTGTACCATGGCATAAATAGATGAGTGGTTTCCTGGTACTGGTCTGTGTGGGTAGTAGACAGCTAATAGTAGAGGCTGAAATAAATCATGCTTATGCTCCCAAAGTGGTTAGTGGGGCTTGCAAGGGAATATTGAGTCATCCCAGACAGAAGCTGAGTAAGGCTTGAATTTTTTTTTATGGATGCTACGATTATCCTTTATATACATTGTTAATTGAGATTTTTGTGTTTTTTTTTTTTTTTTTGTTTCCTATTTCCATCCTCATGCTTATGTGTCTTCCTCAGAAATGGACTCTTCTTTCTTGTTGCTGGACCCTTGTTAATGGTGGTAGTAGTGGCAGGAAGGATATTTCCTCTTCTCTGCCTCTTGGTTTGGTGTTCTCCTCCTTCGTTAGTTCCCCAAGATTATCTGGGAAGTCCTCTCTGAGAGCGGGAGGTCCTGTGTTTGGAAGAATATGTTGGGCCTCTTGGTGAAGAGGGCTGGTGGACAGCTCCACAGGATGTGGTATGGCAGCATGAACTGCTGGCCCGTGACACGTGCTGGCCATTAGCACTGGCTACACCACATGTGGTGTAGAAGCTCTAAGTTCATTTTGAGAGCCATGGCTGTCTGCACTTCTGTTTAACTACTGCTTCCTCTGGTCAGTCCTTGTGACCATAAAGTAGGTTTCTTTAGTTGTCCTACTCTTTCCCCAGTGAGAGATCTGAGCCAAGATAGGCTCTGCTGCTTTCTTAATGGTTATCTTTTTGTTCATTCTTTTCCTCTGTGTTGAGATATTATACATTTCTTCATAAGTAATGTATAATTTTTTTAGCCATTTCTTATACTTGGACCATTTGCTCCATAGAAAGTTGCCTACCATAAGCTCTGATGTTTGATAGAATGGCAGAGCTTTTTTTTTTTTTTTTTTTTTTTGAGATGGGGTTCTACTATGTTTTCAGGGCAACCTCAAACTCCTGGGCTCAAGGGATTCTCCTGCTTCAGCCTTCCAAGCATCTGGGACTGCAAATATACCACGGTGCCTGGCTTAGTATATTTGGATTTAAATATTCTTAAATTTGGGTTTAAGTATTTACTTATGCCAAAATCTCTTTTGTTGGCAATTGTTACTTTTCTTAGAATTCTTAATTTGGTTAGTACTTTTTTTTTCCAACTCTTTGAAAGTATTATCCCACATTATCTGGCTATTTTTGGTGAGATTGTCAGGCACTGTCCCTGCATTCTTGGGCTTGGGTGCTATCCCTCAGCTCTTCAGCTCAAGGCAAGCGCTCTACCACTTGAGCCACAGTGCCACTTCCAGTTTTCTAGTAGTTTATTGGAGATAGAGTCTCACAGACTTTCCTGCCTGGGCTGGCTTTGAACTGTGATCCTCAGATCTCAGCCTCCTGAATAGCGTAAGCCACCACCATCAGTACCTGGCTTTCTTAGATTTTTAAAAAAGTTTTTCTCAGATGCATGTATGCATATGCATTTAGACTACATTAAAACAATGTATTAAGATGTATTTGAGATAAATATCCTAAATATTTGTAAGATTTATATAGTTATTAATTTGGTACTTGTTGATTAAAACTGCTTCCTATACTTGCAAAAATGTTATAGAAGTGACAGAATTTGGCTTCTGGAGGTAAATTTGACTTTGATTAAAAATATCGTTTGTGTGGAGCTGGGAAGGTGGCTTAGTGGTAGAGCGCTTGCCTTGCATGCATGAGGCCCTGGGTTCGATTCCTCAGCACCATATAAGCAAAAAGATAAAAGCCGGAAGTGGCGCTGTGGCTCAAGTGGTAGAGTGCTAGCTTTGAGCTGAAGAGCTGAGGAACAGCACCCAGGCCCAGAGTTCAGGCCCCACGACCGGACCCCAAAAAAAACAAAACCCCAGAAAAATATCGCGCACGTGTGTGTGTGTGTGTGTGTGTGTGTGTGTGTGTGTGTGTATTAGATAGCTAGTTGGGAAAACATTTATTAAAAGCAATTAGAAGCTGGGTGCCAGTGGATCATGCCTGTAATCCTAGCTACTCAGGAGGCTGAGATCTGAGGATCACAGTTCAAAGCCAGCCAGGGCAGGAATAAACCAATAAACCACTAGAAAACTGAAAGTGGCGCTGTAGCTCAAGTGGTAGAGCACTCGCCTTGAGCTAAAGAGCTGAGGGACAACACCCAGGCCCAGAGTTCAAGCCCCATGACCGACAAAAAAAAAAAAGATAAAAAGCAATTAGAGACTTATCATTTCACAATGAGAGTAAAAGCTTGTGATACAATGATGAAGGAAATTCAAGGTGAACAAAACTTCTTTGTACTGGAGGTTGGGACTCAGAGGCTCAACTTTCTTGGCTAGCTTGCTCACAGCTGGCACTCTACCACTGCTCTGCTCTACTGTAACCCGCCAGCATTTGCTGATTAATTGAAAATGAAGTCTTGAGGACTTTTCTTTCTCTGGCTTCAAAGGTTGGCTAACATTTGTCTTTTATCCCACACACAAGAGATACAAGATTGCCTGATTGATGTATGTATTTATGGGATTTACAATCGTTTAAACACAGATTGTTATGTTTTTGTAGGTTTTGTTTTCTTTGTTTTGTTGGATATAGGGTCTCATTGTATTATGTTACCCACGTTGGTCGTGAACTCAAGTAATGTTGTGGCTTCAGTCTCCAGGTTAGGTGGTATGCATTATCATGCCAGCTCTTGCTTCTTTCTTGTTCCTCCATTTGTTCATGTCTTATATGTCTTACTCAATAAGTTTGTCCACACAGTCATTTTTTTTTGGGGGGGGGGTCCAGTCGTGGGGCCTGAACTCTGAGCCTGGGTGCTGTCCCTGCGCTCTTCAGCTCAGGGCTAGCGCTCTACCACTTGAGCCACAGTGCCTCTTCTGGCTTTTTTCTTTTTGCTTATGTGGTGCTGAGGAATTGAACCCAGGGCCTCGAGCATGCAAGGCAAGCGCTCTACCACAGAGCCACCTTCCCAGCCCCGCTGAGGTGAGTTTTCTTGCATTACATGATCCATCCATTTTCATGAAAAAAAGGATGCAAATGACATTTCATTCTTCTTGATGGCAGAATAGTCCACTGTGTACACAAACCACATCTTCTTGATACATCTGTTAATGGGCAATTAAGATGGTTCACATACTTGTGTACTGGTATCTCTACTATAAGTCAA